TGCTGCCATAGAAAACGTAACTCAATCACAATGATCTCACAAGTTCACACAAGAGAATTGGAGTAGCACTAAACCAGGTAGAAGGGATGAGGAGGACGAGAGGGAAGGTCCCAAGAGAGTCCCCAACCAAGGAAACCTACATGCCATACAATTCCCTTCCCCATAGGCAACCCAACTTTGACCTTTGTCACTATCCCAACCTCCACAATCCACCTCAACCCAACTTGGCCACACTTGCCAACCTGGTTTGGTTTCTCCCAACCATTTGGCAGCAACTACAGTAGAAAAGACGAATTTCCCAACCCCCAAAAGTCTGTACCCCATGTTGAGTCAACCCCACAACTTCCCATAGTCACCACAACCAAATAACAAAAGCATACGAACTCCAACGTTCGTAACTCTCTTGTTCGTGCTCCGATTGAAGCGATACTTGGTTCCTCGGAAAGCTCTTGAGCAGAGGAGTCACTTCAGATATCTGCTCAAGCCAAATAACATTCACACACACACTCGAAAAAAACCAAACCGCACAAAACACAACTTCTTGCACACACTCACAACACGCATGCAACGCACGAACATATGATGGGAGGCAGACAGACGTGAATGCGAATGGTAGCATCACTCAACAGTATGAGAACGAGGTGTTGCGGTGACGGTTGACTTGTTGCTAGGAAGAGTCGTAGATGGTGTTGATGTAGGTACTTGGGGTCTTGTAGCTGTTGATTTCTGCTGCATGGGATGATGATGAGCTTCTGTAGTTGCCTCTGGAGTGATGGCTGGTGATGGGTTTGATGGCGTAGTGGTGGGCTGATCCGGTTGGCGTTGAAATTGTGAGGTTGGTGTTGATATAGCTGGCTGGTTTGTGACTGTTGGCTGCTGCTCCTTTGGTGGTGATGGAACGGTGACTTGCTGCGGTGGATTGTCTTCATTTGATGGCTGAACTTCATCTCCACTTGGTTGAGTAGCTGCTGGTGGCACTGGCGTGGCACGGTTGGACTCGTTGACGACGGCTTGAGGGAGATCGATGATCGGTCCGCTATGGTCAGAATCGGTGTCATCTTCTTCCTCCTCTTGTGTTGTTTCCTCAGGTGCGCTTGCTGGTTCCTGTTGGATAGAGGGTAGAGAGGAGGAAGAGGAAAACTTATGCCAACCTGCAAGGGACATGTCTTCATAGAAGACAGCATCCCTTGAAACCACTTCTCGCTTGGTGACAGGATCCCAAAGGACCCATCCCTTGCTCTCATTGCTCATGCCGATGAAGAGGCCCCAATGAGCTTTGCTGTCCAGCTTGAGTCTCTTTGCATCTAGAACACGGTATTGGGCCATGGAACCAAAAACACGAAGCATAGACAGATCTGGTTTAACTCCAAACCAAGCCTCATATGGCGTTACACCTTCCGGTAAGGGCCTTGTGGGTCTCCTGTTGCGAACATAAATTGCCATAGTGATTGCCTCACCCCACCAGAGCTTGTCAAGGCCTTTGAACTGAAGGAAAGTGGTAGCTATAGCCTGGATAGTGCGACGAAACCTCTCTGCCACTCCATTTTGCTGAGGACTATAGGGACAAGTGAACTGTTGTTTGATGCCCAATGCCAACAACTCCCCCTGAAACGCTTTCCCCATGTACTCACCTCCTCGATCCGACCTCAAGGTGAGTAACTTCTTCCCTGACTCTCTCTCAACAAGTGCTAGCCATTGCTTGAAACACTTGTGAACTTCATCCTTGGTGTTGATGAAAAAGGACCACGAGAAACGACTCTTGTCATCAATGAAAGACACCAAATATCTCTTACCGTTTCGAGTAGGGTCTCGCATGGGGCCGAAGACATCAGTGTGGACCAACTCTAGGAGGTTCCTTGACTGAGACTTAGAAGGGAAGAATGGCTTTCTAGCTAGTTTACCTTCCACACAAGATGGACATGGAACGGAAGAAAGGGACTTGACTGCACTTTCATTCAAACTCAATCCTTCCACGCTCTTGTGATTTACCAACTCTTTCAATGCTTGCACTCCCACGTGCCCCAAGCGTGCATGCCATACCTCAGCTTGGGAGATACTCCCTTTGTTGTTGACTTGATCGGTTGAAACAGCGGGAAGCGAGACAACGTCGTTCTTCGTGTTGCTAGCACCGCGCTTAATCTCCAACTTCATCTTGTAGAGCCGCCCGGTACGCTCGCCTTCAGCCACCAGATTTCCTGCACTGTCCCACACTTTGGCTTTCCCCCCTTGCAAGAGAACGGAGGCACCTTTCTCTTCGAGTTGTCCGGCTGAGAGCAAGTTTGCTCCCAAATCAGGAACAAACAAAGCTTTATTGACACAAAATGACTTACCATCCTTTTTGAACTCAAGCTTGCCGACTCCTTTGATTGGTACTTTGCCAAGATCAGCAAGAGTCACAGCTTTTGAGTCATATGAGGGCTGAAAATCCTTGAGAATGGACTGATAGGGAGTCATGGTTTCAGAGCAGCCACTATCAAGAATAAACTCCTCACTACTAGTAGAGAAAACGTGCATGCAAGTAGCAGCGTTAAAAAGGACAGGACCATCGGACTCTTTGGACTCATCTTGACTTGTAGAATGACTTGCTATATTTGCTATGGCTGCCTTACCTTTTTCAGATAGTAGCTGAGGTGGGGGGACCCAATTAGGAGGCTTCTTAGGACAAGCATACCACGGGTGACCCCACTCATGACAACAAAAACACTCAAAATTAAACTTTTTAGCATTCGGGGCTTGGCTGAAATTATTGACTCTTGGCATATTGACTCTTGCATTCCTAGGCTGGTATTGATTGGGAATCGAAGGCCTTGGCTGGACATAGTGACTGGACTTATAGGGAGGACTTGACTGAGGAAAACGAGAGGGTTTGTATGGGTTGGAAGGTGACTGAAATTTCGTACCGTAGTAGGGTTGAGGGCGGTTTGGGCTGAAATTTCCTTGCCTCTGGAATTGGTTGCCATATCTTGTGGCTGCTGCAGCACTCCACGCACCTTCGTCACTCCGCTTGTTCCGTGCAAGGTCTCGACTCTGCTGCTCGTTGACAAGGGCCTCAAAGATGAACGCACGACTCTTCATTGACTGCGGGAGCGCTTGTAGTGTTGCACGGAAAGTGTCCCACTCCGGTGTAAGGCCGGTGAGGATGACGGTCTTGAAAAGAGACTCTGGAATCTCCAAGCCGATCGCTGCTGCTTCCTCCAGCATTGCTTCAGCTCGTTGTAGGTAGGCTTGTGCTGATTCATCTTCTTCCATCTTCAGATTCATGAAGCGGCTCCACATCTCGGCTTGGCTGCTCTCGGATTTTGACTGGTGCATAGTCTTCAGTCGGCTCCATGCTTCCTCTGCACTGTTTGCCTTGGTAGAACAGGGCAGGAGCGACTTCAACTGCTGCTCGTGAATGCTATTGAGTAGGTAGAGGAAGGCCTCCTTGTTGCGTCGTTCGTAAAGTCATTTTTCAGCTTCTGAAGCATCTGCAGCTGGTTTGGCTGCTTCTCCAGTGTAGTAAGGCCACAGATCCAGAAGGGATGCAGTGAGCTCAAACTGAGTTGCCCATGTTGGAAAATCTTTGCCGTTGAACTTGGGGAGGTGAAGCTTAGGCATGAAGGAGGTGAGTGGTGAGTATGTTGTTGAAGGACTGCCTGGTGCAACTGCTTCCACTAATCCAGTAGCTGCTGATGTTGACTCTGAAGCTCCTCCGGCTGGCTGGAGTGCAGGACCAGATAGATTGTCTCCCGCCATGTTCGTATGGTGCTAGGATAGGAACGTGGTGGGCTAGGTTGATCGAAACAACAAGCTCTGATACCAACTTGTAAAACAGAGTAGCTGTGACTACTGGAGGGCTGGAAACTTGGCTGGAAAGTCTTAGCAGGGCTGCTGGAATTGACTGGATGAGGTAAAACTTCACTATGTTCAAGATTAACAAGCCCACTAAAGCACAACTCTAGGCATCACAAACAAGACAGATTGAAAGCTCAAACTAGGCTGATAGACAATGTAACTTCCCTGGTAACTTGGGCACAATCTAGATTGGATGGACCTTGAGTGACTTTGAGTGCCACATGAGGTGCATGAATAAGAAAACTCTGGATATTTCTGTTATAGCTGATTCTGATGTGTAGAAACCTGTAGAAACTGCCAACACTTCGGTTTGAAGGCAGCTTTGAACTATATCGAGTCTTCGGCTGAAATCTGATTGGTGGTGGAACTTTCGAAGTACTTCCCGAAGCTCTGATTCATCGCCGACATTCCCCCTTGCTGCTGCTTGTGTGCAAAGGGCTGGGGCGGCAGAAACTCGATTCTCCAACACTCTCTCCCTCCTTCTAGCACATTTCTTCTCGATTTCTCTCCCGCTTCTCACGTCGTAGCCTCTATTCCCCACCGTAGGCCGATTTCCACCGTTTCACACACGCGCTTCCATTTCGCCGTCATTCCGCCGTCGTAGATGCTTTCGCCTTAGGTTCCGTGGTTGGGCGAACCAACCCTAACACTCCCAGTTTAATAAAGACGTGGATTTTCCTGACGACATTGCACAGCTGCTGCCGCTCCTTCGGGAGCTCTTTATTTGCGAATGCTATAGGTTTTCCGAGCTGCCCGATAGCTTCACTTCCCTAAAGAATCTAGCAACTTTGGTCATCTCCACTTGCGAACACTTCAGCAGCCTGCCCGAGAATTTTGGGCAGCTGCCTGTTCTGAAAAGTTTGGTGCTGGACGCGCTGCATATCCGCGAGCTTCCGGACTCCTTCTGCCAACTCACTTCCCTGGAAACTTTCATACTGACCGAATGTGGCGAAATGGAACAGTTGCCTGATGGATTCTGCAACCTCACATCGCTCCACACCCTATGCATCATGCACTTGGAAGAGTTCGAGTCTCCGATTTCAGACATCATTGTAGGATTTCCTCAACTTCATACACTATATTTGAATAGTGTTTCTGTGCATCAGCTCCTGCCTTTACTCCCCTGGTTGACTTCGTTGACTCGGCTTGAACTGGACAGTTGCCTCATGGAACAAGACCTCCCTGAAGATCTAGGCAAGCTGAGCAACCTGCAGCAGCTGCATATCCGTTTCTGCCCGATCGGGAAGCTTCCAGCGTCCTTCACTGCTCTCAGCAGCCTTCATATCCTCACAATCGAGCATTGTAACGAGCTCGCTTCAGTAACAGGGAGTTTGGACAACCTTAAGGGGCTCAAGCAGTTGGATTTGAAAGGTTGTAGCATGCTCACTGAACCTCCTGACTTCCTGCCTCGCTCTCTTGAGGTCCTCAGCTTAGAGCTCTCCCACCGGGTCATCTCCCTGCCGGATTTCTCTATGCTGTTGAATCTAACAGGCTGACTCTGAAGCTGGAGGGCACAGTTCAAAGAGCAGCCGGAATCAGCAGCAGCAGCGACAACAACAACTTTCCCGAATTGAAAAACCTAGAGCATGTGGAGCATCTGGAACTAGCCATTGGACAGGCTGTTGAGCAGTTTCCATTCCCTCGGTTTCCGTTCCCGCAGCTCCGCATCTTGAAACTCTCATATGGTGAACAGATTCGGAAACTTCCAAGCAACCTCGGGCGTGATCTGCCACAGCTACGGCAGCTGCGGTTGCACTTCACCAACGGATTGACGGAGCTGCCAGAGACCATCACACTGCTCCAGCACCTCACATCGCTGGACGTGGAATACGCATCCCAGCTAGCCTCCCTCCCACATGGCATTGGAGCCTTATCCAGGCTGAGGAGGCTTCGCCTGTCCCACTGCTCAGCACTGCAGCACCTCCCTGCCTCCCTCACGCGCCTCAAGTGTCTTCACGAGCTGGATGCCGAGGGAGCATGCATCCGCGCCCTTCCTCCCAACGTGGCCCAGCTGACCCGGCTCAGGCGGCTCTCCTTGAAGGGGTGCAAGCAGCTGCGGGTGCTGCCAGAGGGGGTGACCGACCTCAAGATGCTGCGGTTCCTGGGGTTGAAAGGGAGTGAGCTTGCGATTGACAATGTGAGCGAGGAGCAGGAATGTGGCTTCCGTAGAATTTATGACTTGAGGACAGACTTTGTTGGCAGTGAGTAGCCTGTCTTTCTGCCCTCTTGCAGACTCCACCTTTAAACTGCTCTGCACCACATTATACCGAAGTAACGAACATTTCCACTGCACTGTATCTCGTCGTTTGAGACGCAAGGCTTTTGTGACGCGCTTCAGGAATGTACCCTAACCCAAATATGTCTGCGATGAAGGTGCTGCTGTTCTTAGAAGCTTCAAGTACCGTAGCAGTGATGATTCCAGATATGATTCGAGAATGTCTCTAGTATCTTACAGAAACACAATTGTGAGGATGGGAAGGGAGTTGCATCAGAACTGTAAGGACTAAGGACGGAAGAAGTTTCCAAAAGGTGCGAGTCTAAGGTGTGAGAGGAAGGTACCATAAGAAGGGAAGGGGCATGAATTGGGGTGTCGTCATGGTCTCACCCACCCTCCCTGAACATCTTGCTGCTTTCAGGATTGTGTTTACCCTCAGGTGAGGAGGACATAGTCCATTGTACTACATGCTACAATTCCGTATTTTTATTACAGTACCGTATTGTCCTATCACACCATTTCTCCTCCTCACCCCCATACGACCCGCACAGTCCACATGACCCCCATGCTCCCATCGCCCATGCAGCCTGCCCCACCCATCAACCCCCATGACCCGCACGACCCTCATGAGTCATGACCCTCATGACCTGCACGAATCGTCCCGCCCACATTCCCCATGGGCACAACAAACAACCTGCAGCGGCACAAACGACTTGCAAGGACTACGGGGCATGCCTGGAATGCAAGCAATTGTCTTCAGCAGGTCCTGAAAGCAAATTATGTAGGGTAGGGAAAATGCATAAGTGACTTGTGCGAGTGACATGCGTAGTGACATGTGCAAGTAACATGCAAGTGAAATGTGCAAGTGACATGTATAATTGACAACTGATATGGGTGCATGATGGGCTGCAATCAAGAGTGCACATCAGCGGGTTGCAATCAAGAGTGGTTGCTGTTCAATGGGTGGGGGTGTTGGCTAAGTACCTACCATCCTTCCAGAAAGCAGAAGACTGGTAGTTGGTTGAATCTTGGCTCTGACAGAGTCATGCCTGGCTGAATCATGCCTGGATGAACCTTGCTAGGCTGAATCATGCATGGCTGAATCATGCCTGGATGAACCATGCCAGGCTGAATCATGCACGGCTGAATCACACCTGACTGAATCATGTCAGGCTGAATCATGCCTGACTGAATCATGCCAGGCTGAATCATGGCTGACTAAATCATGCCTGCCTGAATCAAGCGTGGCTGAATCATGCCTGGATGAATCATGCCTAGCTGAATCATGCCAGGCTGAATCATGCCTGGCAGAATCATGCCAGGCTGAATCATACCTGGCTGAATCATGCCTGGCCGAATCATGCCAGGCTGAATCATGCCCGGCCGAATCACGCCTGACTGAATCATGCCTGGCTGAATCATGTGTTAGAATCTAGCAGCAGGAATAATTGAACTATGAAAGAATGAGGTACAAATATGAAACCCTAATGTGGGATGTACCCCATATTGGCTACCCCACTACAGCCTAAGCATATGTAACATATATATCATTTGACACACCCCCATAGGCAAAGTGGGGGAGAGCAAGGGGTCACAAGACCACTCAAGAGAAGCAAAGCAAGCTCAGGGTGGATCACAACGTCACCACACACACTGAGCACAAGCAAAGGGCCACAAGGCCTGTTCACATGCAGAGGTATATATGCAACAACAACAGCACAGTGATCTCTACCTAGCAGAGCAAGCAAGCAGGTATATATATACATCACAGTACAAACAAAGTCTACAGCAAGTGAGGAAAAGTGGGCACAAGGCCTAACAAAGTGCAGAAACGCTGATGATCACCAGACGGAAGTGCCTTGGTGAATATATCAGCTGTGTTGGCCCGAGTGGCCACGTGAGCAAGACGAAGCTGACCACGCTGCTGCAACTCTCGAGCCAGGAAGTAACGCAGAGCGATGTGCTTCGTTCTGTGCTCCAGTCTGTGCTCCTAACACAAGGCAATGGCGGCCTTGTTGTCGACGTACAGCACTGGAGGAGAACAAGGCCGCTCTCCCAAGTCGGTCAGCAGGTAGGTGAGCCAGCGTAACTCCTGTGCAGCCATGTCTATCGCGTAGATCTCATCCTCACAACCAGAGCTGAGAACCGAAGACGAGCGTGTAGAACGCCAAGAAACTGAACCAGAGCCAAGGCTGAAGGTGTAACCCTGTGACTACCGCTGCGTAGCCTGGTCGTCAACCCAAGAAGCGTCTGAGTGCCCAGTGAGGACAACTGCGCTCCGCCCTCCAAGCACGAGCCCCATGCTTGATGTACCGCACAAGTAGCGCAGTACCCTCTTCGCAGCATCCATGTGCACCTTTCGGTGCCGACCAGGAGCCACGTAGCGAGCCAGAAGGCCAAGAGGGTACGCAAGGTCAGGTCAAGTGCAGGTCATCAGGTACATGAGGCAGCCCACTAGCTCTGGATACGGGCCACTCGGCTCTACGGACTCGTCCGAAGGTGGAGCTGAGAGCGAGTGGCCTGTAGCCAGAGGAGTGTGCTCTGGCGAGGACCAGGTGAAGCCGAAGCGCTGAAGGACCTGCTGCACCATGTGTGACTGAGTCAGTGTGATGGTGCGGCGTGCTCTGTCCCGGGTGATCTGCAAGCCAAGGTAGTTGCGCAGTTCACCCAGGTCTGTGCACGTGTGTCTCTTCTGCAGCTCCGACTTCACCAGGGCGAGAGCCTCAGTGTCAGCAGTGGCAAAGACCAAGTCGTCGACGTATACGAGGATGTAGAATGGCGGCAGCGACGTGTCGGTAAGCAGAAACAGCGACGGGTCAGCAGTCGACGGAGCAAACCCAAGAGCCGCAAGTGTAGTCCTCAGTGTGTCGTGCCAATCACACAGCGCCTGGAGGAGACCGTAGACTGGCCGCCGGAGGCTCCACTGGGTACCAGGAGGGAACGACCCAGTGAAGCCAGGAGGGCGACGCAGCCAGATCTCCTCGTGCAGGCTGCCCTGTAAGAAAGCTGTGCTGAAGTCAAGAGAGTGAAGCACGAAATCACGCTGAGCGGCAACGTGCAGCAGCACCCGAAGAGTGGTCATCTTCGGGGTGGGGGAGAAGGTCTGAAAGAAGTCTACTCCCTCTCGCTGACTGAAACCTCGAGCAATGTAACGAGCCTTGAAGACAGGCGGAGAACCTCGCGGCCGCTTCACCCTGAAAATCCACATGCCATTGACGATGTTCGCCCCAGGAGGGGGAACCTCGTCGACGTAGGTGCCTGTGGACTTCCAGGATGCCATCTCTGCATCCATGGCTGTCTGCCACTGAGAGGAGTACTCACCCGCGATCGCCTCAGCGTAAGAGCGCGGGGTCGGGATGTCTGGAGCATCCGGGTCTCCCTCAGGGGCAAGCAGCATGGACAGGAGATGAGGCGCAGCGGCTGCAAGACACTCAAGGTCCTCGTCTCTGTCCTCAAGGACGTCCGTGCTAAGAGCACACTCACCCCCGACGGACGGAGGACAGACAGACTCAGACTCAGCAACAAGACTAGCGGCGTAGTCTAGACGACAGGCAGCAGCAAAGTCAACAAGCTCAGCGACTAATGCAGACGCAGCAGTAGACGCAAACGACGGGTCAGTGACAACTGTGGCTAGCAGATGCGTGACAGTAGGGTGAGCAGCACGGGTGCGGTCAGACTCAGGCTCAGGAACGGTAGGGAGAGAAGACGCAGGAGGGGACGGCAGGGGAACACACTGCGGAGGAGAAGAAGGACGACGGACTACGAGGTGGGTGCCGGTGACAGCCGGCTGACGCGAACGAGGAACACTACGAACAGGACGACCAGAACGGACAGGCGAGACAGGACGCGACGCAGGCTCACGACGCTCAGTAAGACCCCCTGTCTGCTCAGTGTAAGGAGAAGGAGCAGGCAGCGGTGAGCCAGGCTGTAACGGAAGACCAGTAGACGAAGGGAGACTAAGAACCTGGCGAAGCACAGAGTCAGACGGTGGCTGAGACGATGGAGACGGTGGAGCAAAGAACAGGCGCGGCTGTGCAGGGCCACCAGCACCCGCAGCTCCAGCACCCCCAGCAGCTCCAGCACCACCAGCAACTCTAGAACCCTCAGCGCCAACTCCTACAGGAACAGCTCCACCAGCAGCAACACCCCCAGAACCGGCACCTCCAGTCCCAGGGTCTCCAGCAATAGCACCCTCAGGCTCAGCAGCACCTCCAGCCCCAGCAGCTCCAGTACCTCCAGTACGAGCACCTCCGGGACCAGCACCACTCCCAGCTCCAGTGACGTCAGCAGAAGTACCTCCAGCGGCAGAGCCCCGAGCTCCAGAAGCGCGACCCCGACGGTGACCGTACCAGTCGTGCAGCTGCTGTGAGGTGAGAGGCACACGCGGACGAAGGCGGCTACTCCAAGGAGACCGCGCAACAGCAGACTCAGAACCCTCAGCGCCAGCACCCGCAGCAACACCAGAACCGCTAGCGCCAGCACCCGCAGCAGCTCCAGAACCTCCAGCTCCAGCACCCTCAGCAGCTCCAGAACCTCCAGTAGAAACAACCCCAGTAGCAGAGTCACCAGCTCCAGCGCCTCCCGCAGCAGGGCCCCTAGCTCCAGCAGCGCGACCCTGACGGCTAACGTACCACTCACGCAGCTGCTGTGGGGAGAGAGGGAGTCGACGACGAGAGTGCAGTAGAGAGGTACCAGCGGAGCGACTACGAAGACGGCCGCCCCAGGGAGACTGCTCACCAGACGCCTCAGCGCCCCCAGGTGCAGCACCCCCGGACTCAGTACCCCCAGGCTCAGCACCCCCAGACTCCTCACGCCCAGGCTCAGCACCTCCAGTCTCCGCACCCCCAGGCTCCGCACCTCCAGGCTCCGCACCCCCAGGCTCAGCACCCCCAGGCTCCGCACCCCCAGGCTCAGCACCCTCAGGCTCCGCACCCCCAGGCTCCGCACCCCCAGAAGCAGCACCCCGAGCAGGACCACCCTCAGCAGGACCTGAG